TCACATCGAAATGAATGAAAAAACAACACTTTTAATGCCTCCCCTGCTGTTATTCTGTGCCAATAATCAATCAGTAGAATTTCTAATGAACAGCCGTACGTATATATACAGAGGAAAATGTGTAACAGGCAGTTACGCAACATGGAAGCAGTCTTCCTCTTAACACTTCTGGTCATTCCAACCACTAGTTATTTCTACCCTTATGGATTTGTGCGAACGCCTGTGCACTACGGACAGGAAGTTTCGCAACAAATACCTATTCTTCGTGGATCATCGCCGACATTTCGTAGACAAGTAAACAGTATTTTAAAGCTTTGAAACAACTGAAATGCTTGTAGGAGAGAAAGAAGAGGAACAAAAATTAATAAAGCTTTTGTATTTAACGCAGTTTCCCTGGTGGCTGACTGAATAACTATAGTTCAGCTCAGTTACTCGTTTTGTTTTTCATTTACGAATTGTCTCATATAGGTCTACGTCGAACCTGATTTTTTGCATAATCCTATGTCAAGCGAAAACATTGAACATCTGTACAACCAACATATCAACCCAAATCATCTATACAATGGTCCTGAATACATTCCGAAGACCGATAAAGAGGTAAAATTTTATTTTGCATTTAAAACTAGAAAAAAATTGCTTTTTTTCATGCAGATTAAAGAACTTTTGTCCGAAGGAAGAACAATGGAGGAAATGGATGAAGTGCGAGAATTGCTAGAACAGCTTAACCGAAAACAGGCGCAAAAAGCTGGAATAAGAATGAAGAGGGAGACTGAGAAGTCTTCGGTAAGAATGAGACTGGTATTTTAAGGTTCTTGTTCTTTATAACTAGATTTATGCGCTTTTCGATGAATGTGAAACCTGATTCCAAAGTGCAAGCTCCGTCCCAGACTCTAATGGCGAACGCTTTAAAAAGATACTGTTTTGCCATAACCGAGCACTTAATCTGATGTTTCCGGTGCAAAAACCAAAAAGTACCCGTAGTGAAGTCATTTCAAAATTTTTTCTTTTCCTGCCAAGAATGAAAAAAGGTGACTACACGGGCGGGATTACGTTGAGTACTTTGTGAGGCAATTCTTTCGATGAGGTACGCATATTTGGGCCAAATCATATCATAGCCGCTGTGAAGCTAAAAGTAGCTGGGAGAAAATTTCTAGTGATTTTTGCAGGGCCAAAGGAGAAGGCACAAGGATATTCCTGCAATAAACGAAAACCTCCAAGCATATTTATTTCAGGTACAGTAAACTAACTCTTTTGGAAATTTTTGATCGAAATTTTTTGTGCAGATGAACTTACAACAATTTTATGTAATGACAGATTATTAAAGAGGTATTCTTTGAATTCGCGTTAGTGATGTATATTCAAACATTCGCGACTAACCAAAATTTGCCACAAAATGGGTTTCAGTTTGAGTGAGATCTACACCGGATATGTGACATCCCTCGCGCCCTCTCATCACTAATTTCCGAAGAAGTCTTGCACTGACAAATTTCTATTGTTTCCAATGTTTGATTCTGTTTTATACAGTTGTGATCGATGGCCTTATTGATCTTGATTAGAAGTGTAGAATTCTCCAACTCTTGATTAAAGTCAAAAGAGATTCGATTAGACGAAACTTGCATAAATCAATGAGTAAACTTCTGGAAAGCACTACTGCTTCATCTAGAATCTGACAGATTATCCTTTTTGGTCTAAACATTCTATTCCTCTTCTCATCGCTCCAATTTACGAGAGGT